GCTAATAATAGCTTTACAAACCTGAATGAGCAAATAGAAGATAATTGAAGAGCAAGATCTAGAGTGGTCTGAAAATATACTGAGTTTGTGCGTACGTAACGCAAAAATCAACGGGAAGAACGTAGAATAACAGAAGCGAGTATATGCATTAAATCGTATAAAGCAGAGATAAGAGTATATGCAGATGTAGTGGTTCCAGTGAACCCAACATATCTAGTGTGGTGCCGCTATTTGACCGCTCAGTGTGAACTTATGGGCTGTAAAGTTATTCGGTGTCGAGTCACCTTCGCCACGTTGCAGTGTTGGTAAACGGATATTTGTGGCTATTTATAGGGAAACCGCTTGCCAGGCGATAACCCACCACGTCCTGAAATACTGCCGCCGATCCATTGAATGGCAAGTTGTACTTAGCTATGCTACTTGAGCGCTTATTTGCTAGGTTATTCGCAGGCACCTTGCGTCACATTTTTCTGTTGGCAGACGCTTTAGGCGCGAGCTCATTTGGTTCCTGTGTCCTGTTCTGTCCTGACTGAATGGCTGGGCCGATGGGTAGGTTATGCACTGAATATTCTTGTGAATGTGTTTTGCTATTCTGTAGAACCGCAGGAAGTCCCTAAGGATGATCCAAAGAAATATAGTGAAATACTCTAGGACGGGATATTTTACCGAAAAAAGTCGGAGGTCCTCCCGGGCTAATTTGTAAAATGGGTTGTCAGTGTAGATATCCACGGCCAAATGAACGGGCGAAGAGGGTTAAGGAGCATTGGACGAAGGTACCAGTAGCGAAAAATGACCGAACCCACTTGTTCTGGTCTTGCACCGGCAGGAGAAGCTGTCTTCCGAAGTCAACCGTTGAGTTCCAGGTAAGCAGTATGTAACAGTGATATTGTTTGGCGAGTTAAGCCCAATTGTTCTGGCTTCCAAAATTTTTCCTTGCGAGATAACGAATCATTTCCTTGGTCGGTAAGTTGTAAAAGCGGCGGATAGTCTTCTACTTGTTGTCTCGTATTTTAGTACCGTAGCAGCTATGGAAGATTCCTTGGGTTCTCGACGCCGTATCTGTGACAATGTCGAAAAAATGTAACGAACAAAGACAGCCACGCAGATAACCGGAAGACTTACATCCGGAATGTAGTCCAACAATTTCATTAACGGCTGAACTATTGCGCCCCTATATAATGCAACTGTTATTTAAATATCTCTTATACACATGTAGCATAAATGACAAAATACAACAAGAAGCGAGCAGATCGTAGAGCATTAGAGAAGGAAAGACTATTCCACATTAGGTATGAAGATGGAAAAAGTGAGCTTGCGGGGACCTAAAGCGCATATGTCAACTACTTGGGCAACTGGAGGCTGACACGATGTGCGGCTTACAGAAATAGGTCGCTCATAGGAAGCTACAGGGACGCGTTGACTCAGTCCTGAATTGTTTGGAAGATAAGAAGTCAGGGAGGACACACATGAAAGTTAACGTCAAATGAAGAAGGAATGGAACAGAAAGCACGGGAAGGAAAAAGGCGCCGGTAAAGAAGGTTCTACTGGGAAGAAGTTGAAAGGACAACGATATTCTTCAGGTGATGATTCATCCCTGTTAATAAAGCAATCTGCATAATGCCCAGCAAGGTAATTGAGGTAACAGTGGCAGAGCGTTGCGCCACAATAAGTGCATAGCATGAAGAGCAATACATTAAGGTTAAGGGGCACAGTGTTGGGGCTACACTGCCTAAAGCGTTTACGCCCCGGTGGTTTGGAAGTGATCAGAAAGCGAGAGTGGTCAGACGAGGCAAGATAAGAAGTCCTTAAGACGTCAGAAAACAGACCGATCAAACAGAACCGGATAAGTCAGCAAGCTGAAGCTAGGCCGCCAACATTAAGTGGGAATAGAACTAATCAGTGTCATCAGAAAAATAGCAGTACATAACGAAAGTGGCTATATAAAATGGCAGGTAGTATGCCGAGCGTAGCTCTCTGACTGAGGGACAGAGCGCTTTGCGATAGCAGAGCCTATGTCGTTTACTTCTCGGATGTCTGAAAGTGCTCAGTATGCAGGAGGTTAGTCAGATGAGACTCGTTTAGTGACAGGCTGAAAAAAATATCCTTGCTATTGAAAAAGGAATGCAAACAGAGGGTGGAAAAAGGAGAAGGATTTATTGAGGAGAAGTGCAAAGGCCTAAAAAGATCTCCAGGTGTTGTGGATAGAAATTTGGATCTGTGGATGATTCATCGGTAAGGCCTCAGTAGTCAGAAAGCAAAAGACCGGTGAGACGAGACTGAAATATCGGCACATATGGAGAAAGCCGTATATTAATGTCAAAGAGCTAACAGTGTGCATCGTCAAAATAGTCATGTTAAGGAAGCAGATATAATAATAGAGACCAATCGTGACCAGCAATGCTCTTAATGCTGGCGTAACAGCGCATTGCGGCGGCAAACCAATATCCTGTAGATCTCAGAAAAATGAAAGAGTTCAGAAAACAAGAGACCCTTCAGACGAGACTGGGTAAGTCAGCACGATGTGGCTAGGCCGCTAAATTAAAGGCGAATAACAGAAGGAATAACTGGGGACTAATAACAGGGGAATAATAACAGTAATAAGAGTCATAGGAACAAAATCATTACGGGACTAAAGTAACTACATGAAAAGGCAGCTAGCATGTTATGTAAAGCTCAGGTTTGAGAAGAAGAGAATTTTGGGACCTCAGAGTCTAGGTCAATAACCTCTCTGATCTCTGAAAGTAGTCAGAAAGCAGGAGACGATTCAGACGACGCTAAATTGAAGCCAGGCCTTAAGAATAATCTGTTCAACCGAACAAGAAATGCGAACAGATTGCGAAACGTAAAAGGCTCTATTAAAGAGAAGTGGAAAAGCCAACTACCTTCTCGAGATGATGTGAACAGACCATCGGGTCTGCCTTTCCCTGCTCATTAAAGGCATGGTAGTTGGAAGGAAGGAGATCATTGAACCGACTCTATAATACCGGATCATAGAGAGAAAAGCGTATTATTATAGTCTGAATACTAACAGAGAGCAACGGCTGAAATAGAAACGTGAGGGATGAAATAGTCACCTAACAATAATGTTGAACCATGACCAGCAATGCTCTTGAGGTGAGAGTTACCGAACGTTAAGTCGACAGATCTTGGATCACTTAGATCCCAAAAGTCCGAGAGAGGTCAGAAAGCAGATGACCGTTCAGGCGAGACCAGGTAAGTCAGCAAGATGAAGCTATGCAGCCAAATTAAGGTAGGAATAACAGTGATAAGTGCTATATGAAAAGAAACAGCACGTGACTAAAGTAGCTGTATGAAAAGGCAATTAGCATGTCGAGCAAAGCACTCAGGTTTGAGAAGAGAATTTTGGGACCTCAGAGCCTGGATCGTTAACGTCGTGGATATGTGGAAGTAGTCAGAAAGCAGGAGGCTGTTCAGATGACGCTAGGTTAGAGTCAGGTCCGGAGAGTTCTCCGTCCGATTGAAAAAGGTATGCAAACAGGGCACGAAAGGAAAAGAATTGGGTTGGTAATGAAAATGCTCTACTGGGGAAAAATGGAAAAGCTAATGACATTCTTGAGGACCTGTGAACAGACCATTGGGTCTACCGTTGTCTGATCAGTAGGGTCACGGTAGTCGGATGAAAGGAGATAATGGGACCGAGTATCTAATATCGGCTCCTAGAGAGCAGGTCGCTTTATTAAGGTCTGAATACTAACAGAGAGCAATTGCAGCAATAAAACCTCCATATGGACGCAAACACGCGCCACTTCGCCCTTCATGATTTCCTCGTGCGTGCTTACCCCATTTATACATGAAACACAATGTGCCCACTGCAAAACTTTGTCTCTAAAGCTTTGAGCAGGACTACTGAGGCTTGCCCCTTTGCCATCTGGTGTAAATTATTTATTTAAATTAGCGTCTGTGAAAACGTCTGTAAAAGACTGGGAAGCAAACCCTTGTGCACTGCAGTAAGGGATCTGCAAACTAGTGATACCGAATGCATTTTGAAGTAATAATATGCCTGTCATTCAGTTGGCATACCACGCAAAATCGGTGCAAACGGAATGACGAATAGAAATAGCCTGATATATTATGCATAAACAAGTTCAACTTCAAGCGGGACTGGAACGATGCGATTCTCCCATGCGTGTTCCTTCTTCAGCTGGTCGTTGAATCAGACGTTGGCATGCATTGAAATACAGGTGGACCTAAAACAAAGATAGCATCACACCCTGTCTAACCATGTATGTTATATTTAACGATGTCAAAATGCAGGTAAACATAAATACCAGATAATACAGGTGGTATGCATATTTGTATATAGTTCAAGTTAAATATAACTACGTACCATATATATGGTATTAGAAATGCAAAAGCTTAGAACAACATTTTATATAAATGAAAGTAGGTCCTTAGACAACGTTCTATTTATATATATGGAAAACCTTTATCACACGTACATAGAGCCAGTTATTTTTGTTAATGGAATGTATTTAGACGTTTGCGATTGTTACAAATGTTGCAAATTGCGATAACGCTTCCGTCGATCAGTAAATGTGGGTGCTACCTTGGTTGACATAGCTGCATTTGGAATAGAGGGAAATAGGGATAGCACACCCGACTGGTCTCCTACATCTGCCTTGCGTCTTGCCACTTGTTTAAACCCCTTGCACATTGCTTTGACATGGGTAGAAACTCGTCTGTCTCCCTGATTAACGAATAAAGCAAACACGGTGCCTGAGTGTTCGTGGCCAAAAGTAACGTTGTTAAATCGTGCACTGACAGTAGACTGGGGCCACAAGCCGCTGGGTCCGCAAACTTGCAAGTAGCTTAAATCGCCTCCTAATGAAGACCTGAGCAGTCCAGACACTTAATAAAGCAAGCTAATTTCCTGTCCAGCTAACCCATCAGCGACATCAGGCTTGCCAGAAAAACTGGACTACACAACTACCAGGAAACCCAAGGCACACAGACAAGGGCAACTTGAAGGAGCTACTTACAAGAACTCAAGTACAAGCGCAGTTTTATAACGATTAATGGTACGCAAGCAGCGAGAAGTAGCTGGGCAGTGCTCCATAGCCGAGAAACTGTCCAAGGCTTCAGAAATAAGAAAGGCTCAGGACAGGAGAGGATCCAGGGATGAAACACGCTTTCGCGTAACTGACGTCCTGTAGCACTATATCACACAACTCCCCAACCATCAACGGTACATCCTTAGATAACAGCTCCATCGTGCCCTACCCCGGTGTGCATTATTCTAGCTCACATTAATGTCTACCTCTCCCATTCGCATCCTTGCGTATCTATTCTCTATATAGCTCCATCCTACTATCACTTATTGTCTACACCGTACTGTAGTGTTCACATCCCCGTCTGTCGGACCGATGTCTCCCTTAATTCACCAGCGCCAGCTTCTGACTAATGGAACTTATTCAAGTCTCATCCACTCCTATGCTTAACCCTACTCTACTGTATATTGTATTCGGCCCCTCTTCCGATCAATCGCGAAAATCTACGATCGTGGCCTAAGTAACCCTAGCGACAGGGCAGCATCCCAGTCCTCGCTATATTCACTTCCCTACTGTGTCTCTCCTTCATACTCTTTTTGGACCAATCCTGCCTTGGAGACTCCAAATGCCCGTAAGGTCTCCAACTAATACCACGATTCATTTGCGCATCGGCTGCCACTGACCACAGTGCTCATTAGTATAAACAACGACCTCGTTGGCCCTACGTTTTTATTATTGTCTACTTCAAGCTTTCTTCTGATGATACACCGTCGCTCCATAGCTAGGTCTGTGTATCTCTACTATGGTTACTAGAACCTGGTAAGCCACCCAGCCTAAGCCTATCGTCATTTTATCTCTACAAGCTTCCAGTTGGATTATGATACCACAGCGCTCCCAACCATCCGGATTGGCAACATATTCATTCCTTCATCTTATACTTGAAGTCTCTCATACGTTACCTTCTTGTAACTTTCTAGTCTCGGATTCCAAAGGTTGGTGCTTTTAGTTAGTTAGCTCCGAAATTTTATCCCTTGTATGACTGCCAGGCCTAAACGAACCACCTAGCATGTGGCCCATTTCTGTTCCATCTTAAGAGACTTACCCCATGACTGGGATGATGCATAACTCACAACCATCCAACCTGCAAACATTTTGCTCCCTTCCCTCACGTCTGGTGATACTTCGGCCGCACCTTCTTAGCAACATCCCCTTTCGGATTCTGATTCTCATGCTCCGCCGCATCTTATCTCCATCTTTTTCTCTCTTATTTGTCTACTAAGCTTTAGATAGCCTCCTAGCTCCTGCCTAACGCCTGGTCCACCATACGTTCTTCCACTTAGACTGTCATGCCGCATCGCTAACAATCCTGCGACTAGCCAACCTTTTTCCTCCTTTGCTCATGCTTGGGGTCCCTGCGGCCTTACGTTCTAAGTATCAGCACATCAAGATTCTTATCTTTGCTGGTTGCAATTCCCTAATTACAGCATAACACTCAAGTATATCTGCTCAGTCAGGACAGCCATCAAGCCTGTGACCCATTCGCAGTTCATTTTTCCAGAGTGCCATTTGGATTGCAACACCGCTTCGATCCCTCCCACATTATGCTTCAGGTCTGTTTGACTATACATTCGTATTATTATCTACTTCCATGTTCTAAATACCATTATCTGCTGCTGCCAAATTTGATCTGTTCCACACTAGCATGACTTCTAAGCCTTGGTGAATCACCGAGCCTGTGACTCATTCCCATTTCCTCTTTACAGACCGCCCCTTGGTTTGTGCTGTCGCATGGCGCACAGCCGTTGTAATTCCCCACCGCTTCCTTACTTCATCTTATGCTTTAGATCTCTGTGGCCTTACCTACTTATTATTCTCCCGGCTTCCGCATGTCGATGCCTGTCGCCTCCTAGCTCATTTTGTTTAACCCTTGTACATAAATAAATAAATATTTTATTCTCAGCAAAGCGAGACACGTCTTTTGGGCATGACCAATATGCCTCGAAAAACCACCTAGCCAGTGGCTCACGTACATTTTCTTTTAACTGACTATCCTCCGCATTGTGATACGGCAGAACTCGCAAACGTCCGACATGCTGACCTTTTCATCTTTTCACCTCATGCTTGTTGATTCTCCGACTTTATATTCTTATCAGTAGCGCCTTCCGGATTGCGAATGTCGCTGTCCACTACTTTTCGGCTCTACCTGGTTATCTCTGCTAACACTGGTACGCCCCGAGGAGCTACCTAGGCCACGGCTCATTCACATATCACCATTGCAGGTTACTATTTCGCTGTAGAAATCCACCTTGGAGTTGAACACTCAGTATCTTTTGGCTCTGCGTGTCAGCTTACTCGGCTACCCATAGCTCCTTCCAGAGTTTGCTCTGCAACCGTGTGCTCGCTTCACAGTTAATCCGACCCCCTCTTTCCTGTTCTCTGTTGTTTATTTACTTGCATTTTCTACTGTAGAAATTCGCCTCGGCGTAGAACACTTAGATTTTTTGGCGATGTAACCCATATCATCCTGACGCTGCTCGTCCGCTGCGGAGTTGGCTATACAGCCGTATCATTGCTACAGTTGTAGCAAGCAATCCGAAACCTTCTAGATCCTGTCGGTACCATTAAACGGCCAATAGCCTATGCCTTATATTACGATAGCGAGCAACTTCTGCTCCCCAATTAACCCGCACGCACCACTACTCTTCTCCACTGTCTAGTTAGCATGACTAGTTCCTTGTAAAAGTCCAATTGGGTGGGGAACACAGTATCATTTAGCGCCACTAACCATCTCATCCTGCTGCCTCTAGTCCTGATTACTGGTGTGACTGCAACCGTTATTGTATTACAACGATATTCCGTAATCGCCTTTCATTTTTACTCCAGTTTTTAACGTTACTAGCCTATTAGCCCCCGCCTCATCTTACAGTAACGTTTGGCTCCTGCTTCACAGCACATCCGGCTCCCACCACCACTCTTCTTTGCCGTCCGCTAGACTTATACTTTACACTATGTGGTGGAACACAAAGTATCGTTTGGCGCTGCAGCCCTTGTCACTCCGATAGTCCAACGTCCCTTTCAGCGCTGCCAGTAACAACGTCTTCTTAATTCAGCTGTAGGAGATAGTCCCGTCTCCTCACTCCTTTGTTTTCAACATTAAACTGCTAGTTGCCGTTATACTAACATAGTAAGTTGCTTTAGACTCACAGCTAATTCGGTTCTGATCCCCATGCTTCTCTGCTGTTAGTTTTACTTGTATTTTTCACTGTTTTAGCCCAACTTGGAGTAGAACACCTATTATCTTTGCGCGGCAACCGTTAGCGTTCTGCTACCCCACTTTTACTACACAGCTGGCCCTTAAAACGCTATCTCGATACAGCTTTAGTATGTACTTGTCTCATCTTACTCCAATTTTCAACCTTGGATGCTGACTATTCTGTGTCTTATTTCGAGACAACGATCGTCACCTGCTTCACAATTAACCCGCCATGCAACATTACTTTTATCTGCTGTCTATTTGCCTTGAATATTTCACTGGATAAGTCTACCTTAGAGTGAAACGTAGTAACCTTTTGTGCTGGTGCACAGCTCAATCCGGCAACCGCATTTACTTTACAAATTGTTTTACGACCGCTCACAGCTGTAGAAAGTAGTCCTTTCCATTCTCGCTACTGTTCGTAACATTGAACAGCCTTTAGTCAGTGTCTTACAGTACGATACCTAGTGGCTCATACTGCATCGTTAAGACGGCTTCACCACACTGTTCTCTGCCAGCTATTTGACCAGTATGTTCCAGTTTAGAAGCTCACCTTAGGAAGGAACACTTAGACTATTTTAGCGTTAATGCCCATCTTATCCGATTACCTATGGTCCCGTTTAAATAGGCGCCTGCAACTGTTTCCACACTACAGCGGTAAGCTGCAGCCGCTTTCATTTTCGCCCCAGTTCATAACTTTGATGGCCTTTAAGTACATGCTTCATCTTGCGATAGTCGCTGGCTCCTAGTTTACAATAAATCCGGCTTCCACCATCATGCTTCTCTATTGTGTTAGATTTCTATTTTTCACTATTGTAATCCGCCTAGCTTGGAGCACTTAGTATCTGTTGGTGATGCAGCCCGTACCATTCTGTTATCCCACTTCCATTTCAGAGCTGCACTGAAACCGCTTCTTCACTACAGCTACAGTATGTAGTCCCGTCTCCTCTCACTCCAGTCTTCATCTTTGGATACCTATCAGTATATGCCTCTTTTTCAGATGGCGGGCAACTCCTGCTACGCAAGTAATTCTGCACGCACCCTTACTATTCTCTACCCTCTAGCTGACGTACATTATTCACTGTAGAAGTAACCCAAAGGTGGAACATTTAGTAAATTTTGACGCCGCTGCCCAAATTATTCCGCTGCCCCCGACCCGTATCAAAGCTGGCCCTGCAACTGTGGTCTTTCCCTAGCTGTAATATGTAGTTCCGTCCATTGTCGCTCCTGCTTTCCACTTTGAATGCCTACTAGTACGTGCCTCATCCCTAGATAACGCGCGGCTCCTGTTGCACAACTATTCCGGCACGCACCTTTACTCTTCACTGCCGTTGTGTGTCTCGCTGTAGAAGCAAAACATGGAGTGAAGCACTTAGCATCTGGAGGCGCTGGCTATAATTATTCCCTTTTCCTTGGTCACTTCTAGAGATGGCTCTACAATGCTTTCCCCTCTACAGCTGTTAAAAGTATTGCTTCTGTTCTCCGTCCTGTTATCAACACTGTTTACCTATTAGTTCATGCCTGAGCCTTAACTAGCGTGCCGTTTCTGATTATTAATTATCAGGCTACCAGCTACTCACCCCTAGCCGTCTGTTTGTTTTAGGTTCCACTTTGGATGACCACCTTAGAGTGGAACACCTAGCATCTTTATCGCTTCTGCACGCACTATGCTGCTATTACTGGCCCTATCAGTGCTGGCTCTGCAACCGTTTTGGCGCTACAGCCCTAGTATGTAATCCCTTCTCTTATCGTTCCCGTTTTTAAAGTTGCATGCCTATTGTACCGTGTCTCGTCATACGACAGCGGACAGTTTCT